CAAATTTATAAACGTTAAATATTAAATTTACTTTGATGAGATTGGAAATGGATTTGTAACAATTTAATGGAATAGGAAAAAAAAATGAGTTTGAAAAAAGAAACAGTGAAAATACACTGAATTGTGTACAAATGAAATCGTTTTAAGCTGTCCATGGAAAAACCTCAAATATTAAATCTGAAATTGAGTTGATTTTGAGAACAAGAACATCAGTGAGGCTCTGGGATCAGCGCCTTGCGCAGACCCAAAAAATATAAGGACAGCCCAGCGCCTTCAACAGGATGATGGCTAGTGGAAAAGTAACAAGTACAGAGATATAAAAATTAAATACGAATCGATAATCAGGACTGGAAAACCAATTTTTTGTGCCTCCGACCAAAAAGATTATCTTGATCAAATGCATCCAGGACCAAATATCTTTACACTATTATAGCAAAACAGTAGTACATTTAGTGGTTTGGAGCAAGCAAAACAATTATATTTATGCAATAAATTGTGATGTGCAAAAAAAAAAATAAAAAAAATATATAATAAAAAAAATTAAAAAATTTTTTTTTCTCTAAAATGCGTCCGGGTTAAATGTCAATGCTTCCAACCGCTAGTCGCGCACTTGTTCCAGCCCTGCCGATAATCTGTTTGTTATTTTGGCAATTATTACATTTTCTCATTTTAATGTTAAATTGAATGCTAATATTAATAATTTTTATATATATATAAAAAACAATTTAAATTTATTGCATTTTATTTTTTCAAAACAGATATTCTATAGCAGCAAACAAATCTATAAAAAATTAATGCTAACAAATTTGCATTAAAATTAATGCTGGCATAATAGTATTGGCTACATAAACGCTGCCTTGATTAAAAAAAACTGACTCAAACGTTGATAAGTTTTGTTTTTTCTACATAATTATTACATGAATTTTCTAACTTAGCAATTCTGTGGATATCTTTCTTTATTACCATTTTAACATTTTCTATTTTCTGGTAATTTTTCTACTCATCAAATTTCTTTAACATACAATAAAAAACAAAATATCAATATATTCTTAAATAAATATTTAATATTTAATATATAATATTTAATATTTTATTTATATTTTTTTATATAAATATTAGTACATTCTTCTTTTGAAGACCTTGACAAATGATGAAAAACAAACATTTTCTATTTTCTAGCAATTTTTCTACTTATCAAATTTCTTTAACAACATACAATAAAAAACAAAATATCAATATATTCTTAAATATTTAATATTTAATATATAATATTTAATATTTTATTTAGATTTTTTATATAAATATTAATACATCCTTCTTTTGAAGACCTTGACAAATGATGAAAAACAATAGATATTATTTGCTCTAGGAGGTACTGTATGTTTTGGTGTATATGCTTTTGTTTAATCTTATTACTTACAATATAATAATATCTATAAGGGAGATGTTTATATTATATGGGCACATAGCAACCCTTGACTAAATTGAATATTGTGTTATTCATGTTGCGAGTGAAATAAACTTGATTTGATTTAATACACAATGAATTGTTTTAATTGAATATAGTTTGACTTTTACCTTGTTTATACTGGTAACCAGTTCAGTAGAAACAACTATTCTACAACCATTTATGTCTTATAAACAGAGAGTTAGAGAGTGGAGTTATCCATTTTTTGTATAATTTTTATTATGCTTGATTTTGTTCTGTTTGTGTGGATTCTGTTTTGAGAGTCACTTGATAGTTTTCATCTTAAACTTTTCGACAATCATTGGATGGCAGCTGGTTTCCTCTTCTCTTTGTATTTATGTTTCATCCGAAAATAAAATTTGAATTTGAATTGAATTTGAGTTTGTCTTTAGTTTTGATAAATAAAATCTCCAGCCACAGGAATTGAACCCATGAGGCTAGAAATTAAAGAAAAATTCAAAATTAAAAAAAAGTTTTTGGTATTTTTAGATTCTGCATTAAATTCTTCTTTAAAACAGTGTTTATTTGATGAAAATTAGTTGAGTATTTAAGCAGAGATATTTATTTCATTTGGATATCAGCTATTTAGGTTTTGAGAAAACAGCTTCCAAAAATACCAAAGGCAATAGTATTATTAAAATTATTTATATTTTAAAAAGAATTTTATTATACTTTTCAATTAGATTTAGTGATTGATATTTTGCAGAATGTTCTTCTTTCATTGACTGCAAGAACCTGAACATTTTCAAAATTCTGATTCGCGAACGTTTTGGGTACAAAAATAGAAATTGCAATAAACGGCTAGTTTTTCCAGAGCTAGTATTAATATATCTTTAATCATAGCTAACGAGGTATTTATCTTTCTCTTGTATAAGTTTATCTGTCTACTCTTGTCTCTTTAAGAATACAATCATCTTAAAATCAACAATTTTTTCTAGGTTTTTCAGCCGAGTCCTTGTCTGCTGTAAATCATAAAGCATTAATTTCTTCAAATAATACAACCCGGAGGCAAGTCTCTAACGACCATGATACTCTGAAAACTAATATCCATCATTCTGGAAAAAAACAAACTTTGAGGCAAATAGATTGCAGAATTACTGATTATTGCATTATTAACATGGGCCTGCCAATCTGAAACTCATCAGGTACAAAAAAACACCATGAAGACAAAATATTTATAAATATGTACAAAGACAAGATGAAAGTTGATCAAATTAAAAAAAAAAAAAAAAAACAATCTGAAAAAAAATACTGAATTCTGAGAATCCTGGCAGAAAACTTGTGTAACAGCAGACACCAATGAGAATGTCTGAATTTAAGGATAATTCCATTTATTACAGAGGGTTAACACAAGAAATCGGCCACTTAAACTTACATGCATAATATTGCTTATACCCCTTCAAATATAATGGTTTAGTCGATAATGCCTAAACTAAACAACATTAAACTCTTTGTCAACTTTCCAAGCCACATTACAGATAATAATACATTGCATGACCTAATTTCGGTCCACAGAATTCAGTTGATACCATTTACTTTTGGGTAAACCATGCAAAATCTATAGAATAACCTTTTTTTTTTACTTTCGGAGAAAATAAGTAGGGCACATTTTAACTTATTGATTCTTATTTTCAACTGGAATGAATATGAATTTCATAATAATGAATAAATACTATCTTGTTCATTAAAGAAAGCAATAAGCATGAACTAAATTTGAGTTATTTGACAGATAGAAGGCACATTCAAGGCCACAAATAATATTCCTATCAGTTGATTAATCATTCCTCTTACACAATACTCACTATCAATACATCACACCTTTTGCATTACTATAATACTTTTAATAATCATCTCTCAAAGGGCTTCCTATTTATAGAGACCAGGTTATTATAAGAAAAAAAAAATATAACGGAAACAGAGGTACAGTTTTCAGAAGCTACTTATGCAAGGAAGTTTGAAGATGGGTGCAAATGCATGGGAATTTATTAAGCAAGAGGGTACCAACTTCTATAAGCCTAGATGTAATATAAATATACATATAATTATGTATCCAATATCGTGTTCAGTATATGCTGTTACGAAATACTGCAACATTTTTGTATGCCATTTTGGATTTTTCTATTAAAAAAAAATGACGGCAATGTCATGCCTATGAAATTTACCTTTCTGGATATTTCATTGGGCATAGGCTTTTGGGTTCCAATCAATATCAGTGTTACTATCCTGTGACTATTCAATCTATTCCAAAATACAGAGACGCCTAAGCGAAAACCTAACCGAGTCAGGAGATTATTCAATGGGAGCCAAGCTGGGCCAGAGGCCCCTAAATAAAAAAAAATAAAAAATGGGGGAAAAAAAATTGAATTTAAAGCTTTAAGAGTGTTGTTTCTAGCCATTCAGAGGTGACATAGACATATAATTTCATCCCTCAGCCCCAACCATGGATGGTTGAGACAGTCTGGGCATTTAATCTGTAAAATTCCCTCTGGACACCTTTCCAATTTGTATTCCTGGATGTAGGGGAATTGCAGATTATAGCTAAGTTGATAGTTGGCTTGATTTCCTTCTTTAGTTTACATACACATACACACATACTACTGCCGTGAAGGGGTTCAGATGAGATAAAAAAAAAAAAAAAAACATCAAATATGCATATTAATATTGGAAAGCAATATTTTGAACTACCTCTTAGTAACTATAATCGTTTGAATATAACTACAGGAAACACCCAACTTTGGGGCCTTTGCCTCCAAAACCCCACCATAGACTCTGCTCCTGGATCCTGCTTGTATGCCTCAGCTAGCCCCCAGATGTCATTTTTAGGGGCCCCGGCATCTATGCTGCCCGGGGGCCCCTGTACAAACATATTTTACATACGCACACATACACACGCACAGATATTGTGGTATACAAATCACAAACATGACTACAAGTACAATCAATAAAAATATGAAGCTTATTTCCAATGGGTATATTTTGAATTGTGGTTTCACTCAAGAAATATCAAATGAAAAACAATGTGAAAAAGAAACACCGGACCATCTTTTAAAATGGTACGGCACATAGCGTATCAAGACAGTAATCACAGGCAGGGTGCTGGGTTCGAATCCTAATGTATAATGTATAATGTATAATGGGAAACCTCAACAGTGTATTAAATGGTTTTGTACATGAATTTTTACATTTAGGTATTAATGCTTTTATTTACATATAACTTGATGAATAGAAAGTTACAAAGTATAAAACAATATTAAAAATAAGTAATTAAGATATTTCGATCACGTACTATAAAAAAAAAAAGGAACATTCCACTTATCAAAAGAGGGGTTTGCGACATTGAATTTGAACTAATACAATAAATTGTCAACTTTAAAATAGATTGAAATGAAATATTTCAAATGTGCAGAATAGCACTCAATAAAAATTAAAGTATATAACAAATATGACTGAATATATAAATAATTATGAGATAAAACATGCGCTTGAAAATTGGAATAATCTCATTTATGGCCCACAATGCATCAAAAGTCAGTCAAGTAGCAGCCTGGAAATTTGGAACAATCAATTTTATAACAAAGGGTTTTACTTTCAGTTATTCTTCAATACAAGTGATACATTGTAATTTACACATAAGAAACACCCCTGAGTTGATAATGAACAGGTCTAGGAAATTATGGTTCAAAGTGTATGAAATCCTGTATAAAAAGTTAGAGCTTTCCATATCATGGAAAGATTACATTCTTCGTTTAGGATTTTCTAAAAATAAAATAGTACAGTATTTTAATTCTTAATTAATAAACAACCATTATAACACAAACATTATTTCACATTCTGCAACGTACTAAATGGTTAGTAAATGTGCTACCTTATCTATTCATCCTATATATATACATTTGATGCGAATCCAGAACAGATTCACTTGTCCGTATGTGCCCTTCATCCTCTGCACAAACTGCGTCAGACAATAATGAGCATTCAAATAGTCGCATGCACAGGTAAGGCCACTACTTTATTAATACCTTGTTTCGCGAACATATTTTTTTTTAAATCTTCAGAGGAGAGCAAAAAAAAAAAAGAAAAAGAAAATTTTGTTTTCTTAGTTAGCAAATGATTTTGCCAAAAACATCCAGAGGAAAGGGAAAATAAAAATAAAATTTTATTGTTGAATGTAAACAATGGGATGATTAAACACTTTAAATTTATATAATTAGGAAGAAATATACATCTTGTTTGAGGTTTCAAGGCAGGGGAGAGCGTAATAAAAATAAAGAAAAGCTTTACATTTTTTCTGAAATTTCCAATATTTCGTGGCAGGGGTGCACTAATTGGCCAAAAATAAAATTTTATTTTATTCAAAATCATCGAGTCTTGCTTAAATTATGACATCATTATCTTCTAGTTCTTAACATCATTGTGCAATAAAATAAATCTCCTTAGCATAGCAGCTTGACCTCATGCTCAGTTGGTAGAGGATACAGGCAGTACTCTGAAAGTCTTGGGTATACTTTTTTTTTTCTATATTGAAGTCTTATGTATAAAAAATTATTTTAAAAGTATATTTAAATGAAGCTATATAGGATTTTTATATTTGAAATTGGATTGAATGCATTTATAAATTTAAACTATAACTTTAAAAATGGTACATTAAATTATACTACAAAGTATAAAATAATATTAAGAATAAGTAATCACCAGTTACTATACAGAAAATGGGATATTTTAATTCAAGGTTGGAGTTTGTGACACTGATATTGAACCAATACAACGAATTGCTAACTTGAAAGTAACAAAACAAAATATTTCAAATGTACAAAACAAAAGTGAACACTCAACAAAAAATGTGTATAAGCAATATTAATGAATATATAAATAATTATTGATTAATAAATAATCACTATTATAAACATGTGCTTGACAATGGAATAACCTAATTTACGACCCACAATGCATCAAAAGTAGCAAACCTAGAAATTTGGAACAATCAACTATATAAACAAAGGGTTTTACTTTCACAATGACTCTTCATTACAAGTGATGTTGTAATCCATACATAAGAAACACCCCTGGGATGAAAATGAACATGTCTACCTAGTTATGGTTCAAGTGCCTGAAATCCAGTTTGAAAAGTTAAGGGCTTTCTATATTATTGTTATTGCTTCAGGAATTTTCAATACTAAAATAATAATATGTTCTACAAAAAACATAAAAGAAAGAAATGAAAATTTTAGATTGTTTTAAAAAAAACAATCCAATCTGGCTGATTTGGTGGGAGGGTGGGAAGTAAATTATTTTTGCATGAAAATGAAAACAAAAAAAATTCAATTAAATACCATTTCACACAGTGACTAATAATTTTTAAAAATGTTTTTGCACCAAAACTAGGATGGTATTTTTCCCTCTCATTCGCTTCAGGGTTACAACTGCAGAAAACTAAGGGTGGATGGCAAAAATTTTAAAGGTGGGTGGGTGGTAACATTAGTAAACTCTAAATAATATGAATGGATTTTAAGGATGGGAAAAGGGTATATATTAACAAAGAAGAGGTTATTCCCACGGTACCGTGCGAATTAGGAATAAGGACTTATTTGCACGGTATGACAGCCATTACGTTATGAAACCTTAAATGCTGATTGGCTAGGTCTAACTTGCGAATAAGACTCATAAAAGCTTATTCGCACGGTAGAATGTTGTAGATAGAAATACTGTATAATTATTTCACGGCATACCGTATGAGTTGGGCACAGTACAGACAGTCGATTAGATAACCCTAACTGAAGTGCAATAGGTCCTAGCTTAGCACTGTGTCTGCAGACCTTTTACTGTTTTCTTAGGCTATCCTTGAGAAATTGCCATGAAAAAAATCTTTGTGGAGTATGTACTGGTGGTATAGTTCCCTATCATAGGGCCTAGTAGTGATATTGTTCCATTCAAAAATATTAAATGGTGAAACAAAAGCAAATTAATTACTTAGCACCAACCATGATGGGTGTGGAACAGAGGAGGATGAGAGGATGCCAAACTGATGCAAAATTACTCAATTTTATGGGCAGTTTTAATAGGGTTTTAATTTTGTGGGCTGCAGTCGTGCTGCACTTAGCCCACCTGTAGACTCGCACATCTCTAAAAGTCTCTCCTAATACCTCTCTACCATAATAAATCCTGGTCCGCCACCGAATATATGTACTATATACTGTACTGGAAAATAAGATTTATATTGATGTACATTCTTCACTGCCTTTTGGATCTTTTCCAATGTGTGGGAGTGTTTTCGAAATGCTACTGGATACATTGATTGTAGGCCTAATGATATACACAAAGCACATAGCGCTCAGAGACCATAGGGAGCTGTGATAATTGTCGAAAGATTGTTGTATGTACAGTACTCTACTACAAGGTTATTTTCGTCCTGAAATTTCTTTAAAGAAATCAACAAATGAATTGTAGTCACTAAATTGACATCAGGCTTGCATGGCTGCTTTTGTGATTGTGAACACCCAGAAGCCAAACAAAGAAGAAAGCTTTTATTGGCGGTTTTTTTTAAAAGACAGTGTCATTACATTCTACGATGCTGATTGGCTACATCTAGCGTGCGAATAATGCATTATTTACTATTTGCACAGTAGACAATGTTTGTATGATAGGTTCTATCTTAACCTGGGTTCCAGGCCCTAATTTTTGGGTTAATCACTCTTTATTGCACTTCGTGCGCACCATACCTAATTTAATTGGCGTCCCATACTCGATTTTTTTTTTTTCCCCGGATTTCGTCTCTAAATTAACGAGTTGGTGGCGCTGTCCAGAATGAGAAAAATAATTAAAAATAAGAAACTTGTGGCAAGTCTAGTTCTATCTGAAAAGGTATTTCGGTTCGTTTAGGTATTCTCGTAACAAATTAAGTATCTCATAAAATATTTAGGTCATTGAACCTTTTGAGACGATTCCGTGTTAAATATATAGTTAATTCACAATGTAACGTGCGAATTGGGAATGAGAACTTATTTGCACGGTATGACAGCCGTTATGTTATGAAACCTTAAATGCTGATTGGCTATTTCTACCGTGCAAATAAGATTCATAAGAGCTTATTCGCACGGTCTACCATGCGAATAACCACTTCCTATTAATAAAGGTGGGTGTAGGACTATGAAATTAGCTTTAGACTGGGTAGGAACTTCAAGGCTAGGTGGCCTCCCCACACCCCGCCCACCACAACTAATCCCTGCCCCCACTTCAAACGTACTATGATGCTTGAGCCACCAATGCTGAAGCCAATCAGCAACAAGTTGATAGTAATTCTCCCATGCCAAGTAAAAACATTTTAGACAATAGAGGGCAGTATTCATTAAAACTTGATTGTCAGAACTCAGGGCAGCAAAAATACATAATGGAAAAAGACATTGAGTATTGAATTGAGTACGAGTGAGAATTGAACTTACCTCTGATTGGAAACTGACGGACTTGCTGTCTATCATTTGGCGCTGATTGGTCATCACGGACACTTTGCTGGTGTAGTGTTTTTTTATGAGGTTTTCTCTGGACGTTTCCTCACTTTCTCCGAAGTCCATAGGATGCTTTGACAATGTGCCAAGCTGATTGAGAAATTAATTGTAATAACATTTTTCCTTTGTAAATCCAAAATTTTTAATACACTTGGCTAATGTTTACGTTTTTCACACTATGCACTCATTCTAAAGCAAAAAACATTCTAAATTTAAGAGGTTGAGGGTATTGGGAATGGGTTGAGAGTTAAGGGCACTGGCATTAGTGTAAGAGCTATAGTGGAGAGGTTGAGGGCATTAGGAAGGGAGAGAAAGGTATAGTGAAATGGTTGTGGACATTAAGAAAGGCGTGAATGTATTATAGTGCAATGGTTAAGTGTAGTGGGAAAGCGTGAAATGTATAGTGGAGAGGCTGGGGGTATTGGGAATGGGTGGGAGTTATATTGGAGAGGTTAAGAACATTGGGAATGGGGTAAATTGGAGAGGTTGAGGGAATCAGAATGGGTGAGAGATATAGTGGTGTGGTTAAGGGCATTAGGAAAGGGGTAAAATGTATATTGAAGTGGATGAGGGAATTGGAAATAGGCGAGAGGTACAGTGAAGAATTTGAGGGAATTGGGAATAAGGTAAAAGGTATATTAGATAGGTTGAGAGAAATGAGAATGCGGGAGAGGTATCTGGTCAAGTTGAGAACATTGGGAATTTACCGAGAAATATAATGGAGAGGTTGAGGAAATTGGGAATGGGTGAGAGATACAGTGAAGAGATTAAGGAAATTGAGGGGGCGGGGTGCGGAGGGGGTAGGATTTAAATAGCTAAATGAGCACTATACCTACCACTGGATCAGTGACTGTTGTTGCCCCTTTGCTGTCCGCACTGTGAGAGTCAGTGACTACTTGCTGTGGTACTACAGCCACTTGATTGCCTGATAAGTGTTTCTGTAGTTCTGATTGAAGCCGATTAACTTTCTACAGAATAGCATATTAAAAGGTAATATCAGTGATTAGATGAACAAAACAATTACAACAGTCAAATATTGTGTGGCCATATGAATGCAACATTGTGATGCAAACAGTTCAGTAATCAGATCTTATCAGCAGAATTTATGGCAGCATTGGTGGGTGTTCTAAAAATACAAAAAAAAAGATTAAATATGTATTGTCCATTGAAAAATACCAAAAAAATCATAAGAATCAACTTTGAAATTAACTCGCTCATTTCCAAGTAACATAAAAATCCCCAACCTGAACATAGAAATTAATGTCTTTTAATAAAATATTTATTCATAATTTTACAGCAAAAAGTAATAAAAACACTGGAAGTTTTAATTTTATCAATATCCAGTATAAAATTCAGTGTACACATTTTTTAAATAAAGTAATTTGTATGTTACTGCAAAATGAGCAAGTCAAATTTGATATTATTTTTTAATGATTTTTTGACATTTTCAGGGGTCAATACATATTTAACTTCTCTTTAACTTTTAATTTTTTTTTACAACAGCTGTTTAAATAGTAGTTGCATTCAAAATCGTCATTATGAAGCAAAGCGTGTCGAATGGCCGAGCGGTTAAGGCAGGGGCGCCAAAACCTACAGCCATAATATCGGCGCTGGTTCAAAAAACATGCTTGTTTATGGTTTTGGAGGTGGAACAAGTCTTCTCAGATTAAGGACTAAACCGTAGGTCCAGTGTACAATTGGCTAATGTGCACTACAAAGAACGCAGTAAATCTTTTGAAATGAGTAGGGGTTACCACCGTGTACAGCCTCTGTTTAGGTGTTTACTAGGGCAGCTCAGACAAAAAGAGACCCTTAGGGGAGAAGAAAGTTAATGAATGAGCTATTATAGTCCACACTTTGAGCTCTCTGATCTTCATGAAATTACGCTATATAAATGCTGTAATGTATGTATAAACAAATTCTCACCTTTTGTCAATTATGTTTAACTAAACAGAATTTTTGTGGAATTCAGAGTAATATTAAAACCTCAGTGATTGATTAATTAAATGATTTTTCTATTGATTGATCAACTAATTGGTCAATTGATTTACTGATTAATATAGACTTTACCATTGCTTCCTTGTCATACTTGATCTGCAGAAGCTGAGCCTCAAGTAACCAGTGCTCTTTTTCTTGCTCTAGTCGGCTGACCTTGTCTGCATTGGTAGCGAGTTGCTGTGCGAGGCCTTCCTTACTCTCCGTTGAGCTGACCAGTACCCTGCGATTGTTCAACGCCAGGATGTACGGCACAGAATCTGGAGAGGGCTGAAATTTAGCGCAAGAAAAATGCTCTTTTAAGCCAGGTACTCACTGCGGGGCAACGGTCGTCGACCGACGCGATTCTACGAAGAATGCAACGCGACAACGCGCGCACAACAGATCGTTTTTAATGACGATCCATTCAGACTGCCACCATTAATTGACAGACAGCGTCGCATTGTCTAGCGTTCGCAAGGAGCGGAGTTGGATTCAACGTGCGACGATCGTACAACGCCGTGAGTACCTTGCTTTAGACAATAACGCAATGGCCGTTCTTCGTTAAACCAAGCCCTCATATGCGCAGCGGTAAAATCCTATTTAACGAAGATGACCATTCGAATAGAAAACTGGTAAATACTCCACAAAACAAACTGCATAATTGTGGCAGTATGGGTTTTTCGTAAAAAAAAGGTTTTAATTCAGCTTTTGAATTCTGTTAGCCTACAATTATTTTTTGAGTTCATGTGGGTAAATATTATAATTTTTATTTTCTGAAATTTAATCTTAAACCTCAGTATTTCAACTGCTATCATCAGACAGCTAGGTATACTTGCTCCAATATAACAAAGCTCTAACAGGCCACAAATATCAAATAGGTGGTCTAAAGAAGATATCAGAATAGTGGAGTTCAATGCTTCTAAGCCTCACAACAAAATATTGATCAATATTGCTATACAGAATGTTCTCAAAGAGAGATCGACTGAAGCTATCAAATATCAAATACACAAACAAGAATATAAACAACTTTTCAAATCCCTTGACTAGTCGGTCTACCATTAGCACGGTCCAACCTAGGTCTCTACTAATGAACAGATGGGCAAACGTCTCAATGACGACGTGATACCAGCTAGTTTGGAAGACTATCTCCGCTAAAAGTGACATCATCTTACAGATCACCAAAGAGAAGAGGGTTAATCTCATCCTCATCCTCCAAGAAACTCAATGTCTGACTGACACTGTTGAAAACGATTTTTCTGCTGGGAATTTGGACTTGGACGAATGAACAAAAGAACATTGCCCTCGTATTAATCAATATGATCATTACCACTAATATATCTCAGCATACTTTACCTTGTTAAGCATAGCCATGTAATTAACTGATTTCTGCCTGAGCGAGGAGACTGTGGGTGAGGTAACTCGTCCCTGATGATTTTCATCTTGAATAAAACTGTGACCTCTGGTCTTGTAGCCGCCGGGAGTGCTAAACATGTCAACATTAGACTTCATAAAGTTTGACAACTATTGACAGAAAAAACACATAAATTAGTTTAAACACTTTTACAGGTGTCAAAAGGCAAATGACACAGCAACAAAAGCCCGGTTTACCATTATTCAAAAACAAATAACATTTACCAATTTGTATCTTCATGCTTATCTACATTTTTTTTTTCATACCTGCAAAGGTAAAGCAAGGCTATGAATATATAACTTGCAGCATCATTTTGCTTAATTGATTAGGGCCCTGGTTATTGAGTATTTTAGGCACAATAGAGAGGTTTTCAGTTCATCAAATGACAAGAGAAGTGAACCACATGAGATGCAGTGGTTGTGGAAGCGGTTTGGCGCAGCGGGAATAGTTTGGTTTCCCAACCTCGAGGTCGGGGGTTTCAATTCCTCGCTGTGCATTTCACAAGACACTTTATCTGCTTTGCTTCTCTTCACCTAGGAGTATAAATGGGTACCAGGTAAGGTTGCCTGCTCCTGTGCTGATTACCAGCAGCAACACCTAAAGTATGTCGACCCAATGACAAGGGGAAAAGAACTGCACTTTATAACCTCAAGTAAAAGGCGCATTATAAATGCCTTAACCAGTACCAGTCGATTCTTTTAAGTGCATATGATGCATATACTGGGCTATAGGTTTTGACTTCTTATGTGAGAACACTAGGCTCTCCCAACCTACACATGAGCTGGTCCTAAACTAGCGGCAATGTTAAGGCTACAGGTTTAGGCTAAAATAATACTTAAGGTAGGAACACTTGAGGAAAATAAATAATAAGACAGGTGTAAAAATATGCAAACATCATGAATTTGTGGAAGATGTGTTGTTTTCTGGAAATAAGTGCGGAAGACCATGCAGCTTTCAGCAGCATTTCAACTCACCTGGGGCGGATGCACGGCTGTGCAATCGCACCCCTCATAATTGCATTAAAAAAATATTATTTTGCTCATCATCAGTATTTATTATAATTACTTTCACATGTTGTTATTTTTATTATAATAATAATAATTATTATTGTTATTGTTATTATTATTATGCTAATAAAACCTACCTTAAGGGGAACTTAGACAATGGAGAAATTGGAGAAGAGTTAAAAAAAATGACGTTAAAGGGAAAATAACATGACATTAAGGGGAAAATAACACAAAAGATATTCCCCTTAAGTCTGAGTTAGTGCTAGTATTATTATTATCACTAATACTATTATTATTGTATTGTTGTTGTTATTACTATTATTATTATTTTTATTATTACTATTATTATTATTATTACTACTAATTATTATTATTATTATTATTGTTGTTGTTGTTGTTGTTGTTGTTGGTGTTGTTGTTGTTGTTGTCATCATTATTAGTTTAGACTGGAACCACTGCCAACAGTTCAAGATGGCAGAGCCTAGGGATTAGCCCTCGGTGGAAACCATAAGTGACCAACCAGCTACCCCAGAGTACACTTACGAAGGGATGGCTGGAGGGCCATGGTTCCATCTGGGTTTTCGATTCCTTAAATCTTAACATTCAGTTACTAAAAATATATATGAAACACTAAAATGGGCACTTGGTGATCGTCTGAAGCACACACTCATCCAGATGCTGAACAGACGATGACAAGCACCAGCATAGAATAGAATATTAAGAAAATTATATTTGTGTTGTATTGTTAACATGGATTTCCGGTAAGATTTTTAAGGTATGAGAGTGCAAATTCCAGGCACCCAGAAGTCCATATTCTCAAAATGTTCTCATCATATGGACTTTCACACAACCTACAACCACATCCTGCATCTGTCCCAGCTCATAATAATAATGTCACCTTATTAGGCGCACGTATCCATCTCTTGGTAGAGCTGCTCGTGGCACCGTTTTCCACCTGCAGAGTGTAGATGTAGCCTTTTTCTGCATTATTATTTGAATTAATTAGTTTTATTTAAATTATTTATTTATTTTGATGTATATTAATTTATGACAGACCTGACATAGATGGGAAAGATAGGCAAAATAAAATGCAAATACTCTTCGGGGTCACCATTCATCACCACCCTGGCGCATTCCCAGACCTCTACCTAGGTGGCTCGAACAAAGGTTGACTTTTGACCCCTGCTCCCTTACTACTTAATCATTTATTTTTTAGCTACTAACTTATATGTCACTTGCCACTTACCTTTCCTGTGCAGGTAACCAATGAGATAAGGGATGAAACAACGCATTCATCAGTTGTCTTCAACTTCTGTGTGGCAGTCGGAAGCTGGTGTTCAAGGGAAACTTTGAAATTATAGCTCTTTGATACATCTGTGGAATTAAGAAATTATAAATAAGATTAATATTGATATTTAAAATTCAAACCATCTTGCCAGTCACATCTCATTTAAATTTTTTGGAATTTTCAGTAATTAAGTTCTTGTGCTCTAAACAGGTTCTAAGTTTTTCTTTTTCAATATCATGGAATTTCGCTGTTGACGGATCTAGCCCGCAAGGTGGGATGTTATAAGATCACACCACCTGGTCTCACAGGATTTAAATTTTTTGGAATTTTTTGTAACAGTCTTACCCTCACGTGTGGGAATAATAAACTGACGACAATGGCGACGGCGGGGGTGATGACGACGAAAACAATATTCCCCTGTGGTCATTGGAACCATGTATGAGTAAGCTATCACAAATTGCAACTCTCTTTACTCTCTGGGAAGTATAACTAGATGTGCTGCAATTAACTATGCACACACTACTAATGCATTCAAAGCCACAAACACCCTAACATGTACCCATTTATACTCCTGTGTACACAGGAACAAACATATGTAAAAAGTGCACTGCCCAAGAACACAAGTGAAAAGAACTGCGATAAGTTCAAACCATCAACTTTGAGGAACAATGCAATTACGATCTTAACATTTCAACGTGGAAAAGTGTACTACACTTAGTGATGGTATCAATAATATATTTATCATAGGTTTACATAGCGAGTATCAAAACAGAATGAAATTCTAAAATTGCTATGACCGTTATCAGCTAAATGAGAAAAGATGATTTCTCTTGGCCTCCAATAGAGAATGGTGATAGTTGGGAGTCCATTTTTTATGTAAAGACAAAGATGGTGTGATGAGTGCTTGGCTGAAGTGAGAAAATCAGGTGGTGTCCATTCCATCATGACTATGGGTATTAATGATAATGATTATAGGATGACAATGAGGATGATGCAGAGATGACTCAACTATACTACAAAAGACAAGGACATCGACAACAACTAAGAAAATGGAAACCAAGCTATGAGACAAACCTTTTACTATACTAGATAGGTAGGTTACACTGGAGATAAGCTTATTGAAGAACTCCCTGTGATTGGCCTGAGGAAGGTCACCTGATTTGTTACTGGTCATTGCTAGAAGCTGTACATAGGAGTCCAACTTTGTGAATGCTGAGGTGAGTTTCTTGAGGGAGCTATGCAATTCCATGTTTCTTGATTCTAGCGTTTGTGAACAGGATGACAACGCACATTCTTCTTCCAAACTGTTAAGATAGAGAACGAAGGACATAATTACTTAAAATGAATAAAATATGAAAAAAGGAATGACAAAGAGGAATAGAATGATCATAATGATATGGAGATGAAACAGAATGAAAATGATATGATGAAGATATGATTGTGATGGCGGTGGTAATAAATATAATGATGGATTATAATGAAAGTGATGATTACGATGATGATGATGATGGTGATTATGATGATGACAACAATTATCACTGTAATTGTAATGCCGGCACTCACTGCGTTCCTCATAGAATCACGTTGGCCGACGACCGTCGTGGGCAGTGATTGCCCAGATTTATTGCAATTATAATGATGATGGTAATATTAGTTGATTTTGATTGGTGATGATGACAGTGATTTGGATGATGGTGGTGGTCTTCGTGACGAGAGCAGCAGTGGTGGCATCAGCATTTATCCAACAGGTATTCTTTCGACAGGCAACTTCCATTGATGATTTTAAGGCAGCTTTAAAAACTCACCTTTTTAACTTGTATTTTTCTTCTTTTTTTTTTCCCCCGAATTTTATTTTTACTGTAAAGCGCATTGAGGCTTTAGCATAATGCGCTATATAAGCCAAAATTATTATTATCATTATTATTATTATTCTATTTAACAGATAGGCCACAACCACCACAGCCCTACCACAGTTGAGCTCAGGTTGAAACATTCTAGGTATGTCGCCTCCAAATGCCGGAAAATGGCACTCTCAGGATAGCTGTCTCTGTCTTAGAAAATAATTTTCATTTTTTTCATGACAGATTTTACTACAACACCCCAATGGCTAAGCCAGTTGTCCCCGAAGGCTAGTGCCACCCATGGATGGCAGCGATGACAACAATAATGGAAATGAAGACCATGACAATATGGTGATGATAATGATGATGGTGGCGGTGGCAGTGACAATATTGAAAATGATGACACTAAGAATAACAAAGATAAAGGATAAACCAAAACTCACCTTAGTAACTGATAAGGAAGTAGTTTATTTAAATATGCAACATATTTGCTAAATTTACCAGAGAAGTCTTGTAGGCCAGTAGCAGTTTCCTAGAGTGAAAAAAAAGTTTCTGATTTTAAATTTAAGACTTTACGGACTTCAAATACCGAGTCATGATAAATTTGGTAGAGTACAAAATTTCTAATTGAAAGGAAAATTCTATGTCTAGAAATATGGATGAAGAATATTATTTCCATTTATATCTTACTTTACTTACAAGATTTGTACATATTTTAATCATCTTAAAATACTCAAACTAGTTCATTAAACTTTAAACCATGTTTCTAGCTGCTTGCGAAAAAATAAGTTGATCAAAGAATTACAAATTTATTTTTTATACTTACTAGAGTTGTAAGAGCATCTTCGGTGATGCCTTCATAGAAGTTGTTAAAACTGGTTTCAATTGATCTCAAATACGATGCATTTTCATGAAGAAATGAGCAAAACTAGAGAAGAATATAATTTGTTAATTTTAATATAAACATTTTTATATTAAACATTTGTTAATTTATTGTACATAGTTTCAAAAATATTTTTACTCATTCAAGATTTTAAATAAACATTCAGTGGCAGATAGATCCAAGGGGTGGATTAAGCCTGGCTTAAATAAAAATCACTACACGCTATCGCAGACTCCTTTGGCAACGCTGATTGGTCAGTTGAATCAGGGAGTGTTTCCGATTGTATCGGAGACAGCTACGCAATGTAATGATTGCAGTGAATACTGCAATCATTGTAGCGACTCCGTAGCAATTCTATAATCCAAGCTTCAAGGATTACTGCAACTGCCAAAAAAAACATTACCCGAGTGTGAAAGCATTTAAATAAGATTAAAATGGAAAAATTATGAATAAACTGATAATTTGAAGCAAAAGACACTAACTTTGGCATTGACGTTACTTAGACTACCGGTTGAGGCATCGATGGGGAATATTTTGGACCTCTGTTCAGTGTAAGTATGGAAGTTAGACAGAGCTGAGCACAATTCACTCACTAACACCTTAGCCTTCCCAACCAACTCCTTGGTTCTTTGCTGAAATTAAAATAAAACAAAATTTAAATAGCCAGTAGGAAATTAAGGATATGAATTAAGACAGGAAAAGATAGCCCATGGCTAAAATGACATCTTTAAAGGAATATGGGGATTCATAATGTGGTTTTGGACTATGAGGAAGACTACAGTCTTCAAAGTATTAATATTTGGTGATATTTGTACAGAGAATTAGAAACTGTTAAGGCCTGTTTATACTTGCAACGATAACGATAAACAGCTAGAAAGCAATTATTCATATAGAAAATAATATAAATAAGAAAAGTTTTTACACTAGGACAATTTGATAACAACTTATCATATATACCATAACAAAATAATCTGAAAAAACTTCTCTTATTTCTTTTATTCTCTAAAATTGCTTTTTAGCTTTTTATCATTATCGTTGCAAGTAATAACAGGCCTTTCAACAGATTAACGTATTTAAATATTCCATTCTGAGGCTGTTAATTTCATTTTCTTTAACCACAACCACAATTCTATTGGGAGTCAAGGGAAGCTTTCAGAAATCTTCTGTCTTCCGCACATCTACAAGGAAGAAATAATCTTCCGCAAAACTGAACTATCTCCCAGTTCTTTATTTTTTACTACTGTGTTATATATTTCTCTTTGAAGCCATCGACACTAGTTCACATAGCACACTTGCTTATGGTTCTGGTGGTGGTACAAATCTTCTCAGATAAGGACTATAAACCATAGACCCAGTGTAAATAACTTGGGTTATGTGCACTTTAAAGAACCCATTACATCTTTTAAGATGATTGGGGGGGGG